ACACTCGGGGCAGCTTCTTGACCCAAATTGATTGGTGGTGGCCACGGAGAATTGCCCTTTTAGAGATGTTTTGCTGCACTCCACTATAAAAAGTGATTTTTCTAAGGCTCCTAGTGGTTTCTTCTCCTTTTTTTTCTGAGGGCGAAAGTGACAGCCAAGCCCAGGAGGCTTGGTGAGCATTTCAGCTGAGTGCAGACACATTGGAATAGTGCCCAGCAGAGGTGGGCATGGCTGAGGGCCCAGCCACACTCCTGCGTTTTTTTGGCTCAGTGGCTGTGGGGTCAGGTGAATCTACAAAGCTTAGAGATTTGTGGAAAAGCCGAATGCAAGTTTGAATCCCATCTCAGAGGATTGTAGCCCAGGTTGATGAAATACCTGCTAAATGGGAAAATATGGAAAAGGATAAACTGTTGACATCTGGGAAGTTTATCTGGTGGAATTCGGTATGATCTTACCTGTGTTTAGTACTGTACCATTTATGAAGGCCAGGATGTAGTAGGCTCCATCATTGACCCTTCTAAGCCTTGAGCAACAGTGCAGCAGTCGCAGTTCACAGGAAGCCCTAGCAGAGGCGTAACTCCAGTGCTTGCCTTGGAGGTACGGCCAGTGAGCGGCAGCACTGAGAGCCCCAGAAGGTGTTTCTGTGAGAGACTTGTGTGGAGACACGCCTGAAGTCACGGGCATGTCCTCCTGGGGGTGGTGAGATGCTTTCTTTGATTCAGCCGCTTTCTGTTGGCCTCCTGTCTCCTCATCTTCCTTTGGCCCTGTGGTTCCTCCCGAGAGGCTGGAGCCTGGAGCCCGGCAGCAGCCAGGGGTGAGGAGCATGGCTCCTTCTTTCCAGGGCTTCTCCTTGTGACCCTGCCTCATTGCCACATTGCTGTCTGGATAATTCTCTTGGTAAATGCCATTAGGTCTTTGTGTGCAAGAGAATATGATCCAAAAATATGAATAATTAACAGCTCGGGAACAAAAAAATGCTGGGGTGGATGAGGGAGAAGGGGAGGTCCCAGCATGCCTTGGGCCCAGGGTGGGCTTGTCACAGGATGATGGAGTTTATTTTTAGCTATCAAGTTACTCCAGAGACTCTTAAAAGAGATAAAGCTATCACAGAGGCCCCTTGTCACCTGGAAAGTGACTAGGCCATGAACATTAATATTTCATGTCTTTTTCATACCCGTGTCCTCTATCTGGCCGTTCCAAAACTGGATGAGCACTCAGCCATGGCAAACGGGTAGCCAGGGAAGGCTAGCGTTTAGTTAATGTACCCATGTTGGGGTCTTGGCTTTGACAAATGCTTTCTGGTAATATAAGGGGTAAATCTTTTGGGAAAACTGGGCATAGGAGATAAAGCAACAACATATGCTTACCTGTGCAACTCTTCGATAAATCTAAAATTATTCCCAAAGAGAAAATGTTGTTGGCGGGGGAAAAAAGGAAAGGCAGAGGCTTTGGCCCGGAAAAGCGGGCCCTCGTGGTCAGGGGGTGACCTTAGAGTCCTCGAGACTGGGGTCAGGGAGGCCAACCCGAGACTCACTGTCAGGTGGGATGGATTCTCCTCCTAGCTTTGTTGCAGACTGTAAGACCGCAGTCTCTAGTGCTGGAGATAAGGCATCTGTTCTGCTCAGTAGGACTCTCAGAAAGCAAGCGATGGTGAGGAACAGACTGAAAAATAAAAAGATGCCCACGGATCGGATCACGGCTGCATTTCCGAGCCCCTGGGGGCATAGCAGTTTGAGATGGCTAGCTGCTACCCGGGAGAAATGCGGGGCTTGCTCTTCTTGTAAAGAGCTACAGGCTCAGAAACCCACAGGGACAAGGTTAGCCCCGTCCAGTAGGGTCGTTAAGAACCGGCATTGGCTCGGTGGCAGTTTGGTTTGTTTGGAAGTGGGGCTGTGGGGCTCCTCTTGTCCTCACTCCTGCCGTCTTCCTGCCCTCCACCGAGCCCTCTGTTGTGCCTCCCCGTCCTCTGCAGCGGCCTCTGGTGAAGGACCGCACAGCCGAGCTCCTGTACTTCGCTGACGTCTGTGCAGGCCCAGGCGGCTTCTCAGAGTACGTGCTCTGGAAGAAGAAGTGGCACGCCAAGGGCTTTGGAATGACTCTGAAGGGCCCGAACGACTTCAAGCTGGAAGACTTCTACTCGGCCTCCAGCGAGCTCTTCGAACCGTACTATGGTAGGGACATTGAGGAGGATCCGGGGAGCAGGGACTGGGCTTTCTTTCCTAGATGACTTAGTCTGGGGGCGCCCTCCGCATCTTGGGTCCTTCTGCATGGGCTCTTTTACCCGAGGCTTGCAGGATCCAGAGTAGACACTGGAGTTGGCAAACTTGTGTCAAAGCCTCATCAGCTCTCCTTTCAGGAGCACTCTTCTTGGCTGGTGATTGGAAGTAATGAAACTGCCTGATCCCTGGCTGAGAACTGGCAGGGCTAAGAGCCAACACAGGCCCCGTGACCCCGGCAGCCCAGTGGGCAGATAGCGCCGCAGCCCCAAAGTAGTCCTCGCGCTCTAGCTGGGTTGCTGTGTCTGGGCAACAAAGCCTGCATCCACCCTCAATAGCCCTTCTTTAGGAAGGAGGAGGCCAAAGAACCTAAGAGCGGACTTCAAAGCAGTTCTGGAAAAGTGGGATTGAAAGAATGGCTGTTTGTATTTACAAGTTCACCAGCAGGGCATAAGATCCACTCTCTCCACATCCTCCCCAACATTTGTTGTTTAGTTTTGTTGTTGGCGGTGTTTTAAATTGGGCTAGCACAAAACTTGGATTCTTGAAAAAAGAGAGTGAATGGATTTTTTTTTCATTAACCTTTTTTAGATCATAGAGAATTTAATTATCTTTTTGATTGGAGTATAAATTAGCATAACTTCTTTTAAAGCATTTTTTTTATTTTCAAGGAAAATTGGCAAGTCATTGCTTATAATCAATTTCAAGCATTGTCTAGCATACTCTTTAAATCATTTTATTGGGGGCTCGTACAATTCTTATCACAATCCATATGTACATCCATTGTCTCAAACACTTTTGTACATTTGTTTCTCTCATCATTCTCAAAACATTTTCTTTCTACTTGAGCCCTTGGTATCAGCTCTTCATTTTCCCCCTCCCTCCCTGCTCCCCCTTACCCCACGAACCCTTGATAATTTATAAATTATTATTATTTTGTCATTTCATGAACTTTTAAAAGCCTCCTTGCATGGAAAAAATGGATCTTGATTCCTAGAGAAGGGTGGCCCTAGGTCTCAGTTGATGATGCTGGGCTCCGGCTTGTGGCAGCAGGGCCCTTTCTGGCCTCTTGGGCCGCCACTGTCAGGCTTCCCGGGGCTGGGCCCTGAGCCGAGGAGCTCCTCTCCTCACGGAGGAGGCCTCTCTGCTGGGGCTCCACGCCCACCTGGTCCTGTGCACACTGCCCCAGAGCTTTTGTCCCGGCTCTGGGGATGCCCGGAGCATGTGCTCCCTGTGACTCCTGCGTCCTGCCAGGCGAAGGGGGGATCGATGGAGATGGAGACATCACCCGCCCAGAGAACATCACTGCGTTCCGGAATTTTGTCCTGGATAACACAGACCGCAAGGGGGTCCACTTTCTGATGGCTGATGGGGTAAGTGGATTTTTCTCCACAGGGTGATACTTTTAAGAATTCAAGATTGTCAAGGTTTGAGAACTCTTTTTGACTTTGCTTCATTTTGCCCTTCAGCTGTCCCCGCACGTGGTAGCTCCTTATTCAGCTAGCAGGGAGGCATGAGTTTATTGTCTCTCTGCAGATTTTCAGTGGTGGTTTTGTAGGCTGTGATGTGTGGAGAGCTTTGCATGGAGCAAGGTGGACCATCCCATCGCACTTTTCCTAAGAGCTGCTGGTTGGCTGAGATGTGGGGGAGGGAGTTGGCAAAAGTGAATGGGAGAAACACTTCGCTCATTTGTCACCTTGGTGTCGTTGACATTCCACTCTTGACAGATGGGCTGACAGAGGCCCACATCACCAAAGACAGCCTCCCGGGGAACTGTGGGAGGCTCTGAGCCTGAGCTGCCGGAATGGGAGCAGCTGTGTTCCAGAGCTGCTGCTGGAGGCCCGTCGCAGCTTTGCGAGCCCAGGCTCTTCCCCAGGAACCTGGCCCGGCAGAGGCACATCGAACCTCTGGGTAGTCCAGACAAAGGCAGGTGTACACAAGGTCATGTGGCAGAAGTGGAGAGAAGCCCCTGCTCTCGCAGGAGCCGCACGGCAAGGTGCGGGAAGGAGGGCGATTGGATGGCCTCCGGCTTACCACAGTGCACAGTGCACAGCAGATAGCAGCTGACAGGCTGGGAGTGAGCTGAGAAGGGTCTGCTTAAGCCACATAATGCTGGTAACCTGAGCTTGATTTTTGTCTTGTTTTTAAATTGACTTCCATCAAAAGCTTGTATTTTGATCAGCATCTGTCAGTGT